TGACTTGTGTTCTTATATTTATAGGAGGTGATATCGAGACATAAAGACAATAAATTGTTTGGAGAATGCACGAATTTTATAGATTCCTATTTGGAGGAAATTGATGCGCAAAAGAAGAAGTCACCGTACACATCCTTCACCGGTAATTCTTCCTTTCATTTTTACGTTTTTAATTTAAGACAATTTTCATATTTCTTCATTTATGTGCCGAAAATGTACCGGAAAAATACTGAGCAAATATTCATATTTCTTTATTTACGAACTGAGAAAGTTTACCGGAAAGATATGAATAATTTAAATTATTAAATTAGTTTTTTGCACGTACAAATAATATCCAATACTAAAAATGTAGGTCTCCTTCATTTCATGTGTTTTTATTATACTAATACTTAAGTATCGCATATCAAGATTAATTCTATGTTCGTCTGCAGTTCTTGGATATGCTAATTCCCTGACAAATTGCTGTACAAAATACGTCATTACCAACTGCAGCTACTTGAATTCACTGACACAGGCTTAGGATACCGCGTTGATTGAATCAATTCTGTAGCAGCATAGGACCGGTTTAATGTTCAATTACGGTAAAACGGTTAAACGACGATTCAAAGTTTGAGAAGTAATTTCGATGAACCCGTTATGGTGTTTAAATTAGGTCACCACGTGATCAAATCTTTCCGACGAATTTAACTCACGTATGACACGAATACGTGAACAAACAAGATTTAGTTCATATTTCGTTGCAATTCCAGCAGTAGTGAAAAACTTTATATTTGTACTATTATTACGTGGACTGCGAATTTTATGCATTTATGACGAAATTTAGCATGTGCAATTTGTAAAGAGATTAAATGATACGAAGAATGCCAAGACATTAGTTTTAGTTGATTAAAATTATGGAAGGAAGGAATAACTTTCTATTTGGTTCCTACTTGTTGCAATTGATACAGTAAAGTATTCTGCATAAACATCCGCAGTCTAATTATTACTGTAAAATATAGTAACAATATGCCAAAAATATGTAAACTGTATAACAATTTGTACTATTAATAACAATATTTTCCACGGATAAAAGAAATATTTTTTTGCAGAAAAACAATTGCAATTTGTACTGAAAGATCTGTTTACCGCTAGTATAGATACAACAGACAATATGATTGGTTTTGTCATCGCATATCTCGTGGTACATCCTCATGTACAGCTTAAAATACAAGATGAAATCGACAAAGTTATAGGAAGTGATGTTAGTCCTTCCCTTAATGACAAAAACCGGTAAGACGTTCGATTGGTAAATTTAATTTTATTAAATTAAAGTTTTAGTACATTTTATGTCTAGTTTATAAATTGTACATATGTTTAGGTTCTATTTAATCATTTACTATGTTAATAATTTATGATATAATGACTTCTATATATGACAAGTAAATAAATTACTCCTTTTTAAAAGTCACTTTATTTTTATTTCGCTTGGAGTCCGAAGAGAACGTGCTAATTATATTGTTGCATTATTGTTGATAACACTATAAATAAATTGAAATAATATAACGAAAGATGAAATTTTGAATCATTCTGAAAATTTGATGAAGAGTATGTTTCGGTTTTTTATCTTCTACCAATACATTTTGATAGTCAATATGTGTTTCGAAGTGTTCGATGTATTTTGTCAGACTTTTTCCAAAAGTATTGCCAAGCGAAAGAATGCATTAGACATAACCGAACTACGTTCGTAGTTTAAGAGGAACTGAAAACGTTTGCAATCCAATTGTAAACATATTAATTTTAGATTGCCGTACCTGAACGCAGTTTTGGTCGAAGTATCAAGGCTTGCGAACGTTACTCCTACTTCTCTCCCTCATCGAGCATTATCCGACTCCAATTTATTGGGTTTTGAAATCAAACGAAACTCTACGTTATTAGCCAACTTCAGAAGCATTCATTTGGACAAGGAGCACTGGGGTGATCCGGAAGTATTCCGTCCAGAAAGATTCATCAATAAAGAAGGACAATTTGTTGATGACCCATGGGTTATGCCTTTTGGAACAGGTATCATTTCTTCAATAAAATCAGCTGAAAAGTTGACAAACAAAATAAACAATTCCTCATTGAAAAAATGAAATATCGGTCTAACTAAATTTTTGATCCTTATCTTCAACTAAATTTTCATAAATAATAATTAACTTATTAATATTAATTGTCATTATATAACGACATAATTATTTCGAATGATTGTAGTTATTTTGTTATTATTTGTATAAATAATAATTAACGTTCAAGATACAGGATTCAATAATTGGATAAAAATAATTAAAATATAATTAAAAAGATAATTACAATGAAAATTCGAAAGACGTTCGACAACTATAACGAATAAGCTTAAGTTAGGAAACCCGCTTAACAATAACTAGTTCGATTTTTTTTCTAAATTGGTAATTGAAAAATTTGTCCTTTATTTTAAATAGTAGTTTTATCTTTGATCATTTCTCTGATTATTTATATTATTTTCTTTACAGGTCGCAGAAAGTGTTTGGGCGAAGTGGTAGCAAAAAACACAGTCTTCCTCTTCGTAGCATGTCTTTTGCAAAAACTTAATTTTTCTGTGCCAGAGGATCATCCTGAAATCGGACTTCACGGAATTGATGGTATTATTACTTCTCCGCCTAAAATTGAGATTGTCGTTGCTCAAAGATAGGGATTGCAATAAAGTACTCGTGTTAACTTTTATATTTTTGCTATATGATACATTGTCATATGATCGGGCAGTCTTATTCTGAAACGTATAATTACATGCAAACGCAATTAATGTCGTCGCTTCTATGGCGTACAAATTGTTATATTCATGTTACAACACACATCGTAGTATTCACTAATTTATTATCCTAATTGGAGTATGCAAGATATAAGGAAAGATCAAATTACTTAGGAAGTAAATTTTATGAAATTTTCGAGATCTCAGAATTAAATTACTGCATCTTGCATTGATCATTACTGAACTGTGGATCTTTATGCATTTATCTGGTATGTAAGTTTGTAAAATGTAAGAGAACGTATATATAACGAATATTCATTGTATTATCATTCTATGTTCATTACAAAGAATTTTCTA